CCCATTTCTCCTGTCTAGTATAAGACCATCCAAACAAACTCATTACTTTACGGTGTAATATTACAAAAATCGACCTAATATTTTTTCGCGAAATTCTTTGTCGATATTTTAGTCCAACAAAAATTTGTTTGCCTCGTATCAAGATAAGACGATTCTCAATTCTCAAAGGGCTACAACTTGTCCCTATGTTTTACAGCGCTAAATTGTCCTCTCTTGACTTTTCAAGTATCGATTCGCCTTCCACTAAATTCCCCCTCTTCCGCCAAATAGGCTTATCTTTAACTTTCGTTTTATAACCAATTACACAAGTAACCCATTCTTTCCTCTCAACATCTCTCCAGAGTTATATAGGGCCTACGTGTTTAAACTCCAGCATTAGCCTAATGTTAACAACTCTTTACCTAAACATAACCCTGATAGCCGCCATTAGGATTATATTAGTAAATGAAATGACATATTTTCATCAAACCTAAACTCACTCCTAACCCCTTATATAATTCAAAGTCTACCTTAACCCAGTTAAAGTATCATAAATTCAATACCATTTATTCGATTCCTCCCAAATCCGCCTTCTACCGAATCCGTGGCAAAGCTGATAAGAAATTAATCGGATTTTTGTTTTTATAAACGAGTTCACATTTCGCGGTGATGCATCGCGCAATATCTGTCGCGTCGGCGCACATTGGAACGATCGCACTCCAATATCCATAGTATTTATGATGCAAAGATGCAGCCAATGAGCTGCATAGCGCATTCTGTGAGCACGTGAATTGCTACGTGACGATTTGAATTGAAACCTATCCGGGTTTGTTTTTTTCTAGTGAGTTTATCAAGTGAATTCCCACACGCAATACTCCAATAGTTTAAGTACAAGTAGACGTGTGTTTTCATCTGTGCGCATGTCTGGATATAAAAATAGATCTTGGTGCTTTCGTCAGCACATAAATCTCTGACGTTGGGACGTCGCGTGCGGGAGTATTAGTGTCGGTATAAAAAAACATTGCAAACACAATCTGGTTTACTCAAGGCATGAAATATTTAACCTTTTTCAGAGCCGCAATGTAGTTGCAGAGATTGAGACTAGTGACGTCATTAGAGCCCATTCATAACTGCAATAGTGTGATGATGTGACGTCACTAACCCTATTCATAATAGCAATAAAAGTGTGACGAAATGACGTCATACTCCCCACTAACAACCTTGGATGTCTGTACACAGACCTACACCGCATACGTGAAGGCCTTGGTTTACTGAAGTTCTGTCTATCTATATATACAATTCTCTTTTTGGATACCCTAGAAAACACCAAGCTGTAAGCGCGCCTAGCAGCCCCCTCTCTTCCTCTCTAAGCATTTCCCTACCACCCCCACCCCCACATGGTCAGGTGAGCTGTGGTTCACGCTAAATGTTTACCATCGTAGAGCCGGGTTTAGTGACGCCTATTAGGGGCAGATAATTTAGTTTGAAACGATTTTAAACTTAGGGAAGGTAACTAAGAGGAGACTGCTTTCACGGGGAGGGGTTGGGGGACAGGAGGGTGTGGGGGGGGGGGGGGAATTATCGTCCTTAACGACCTACTGATAGTGTTTTAAAGCAAATATTTTCAGTGGTAGCATTGGTACTGTTGAATTCGCAAATTGTGAATTACTGAAAAATGAAAATAAAACAACTAAATAGTGGCGTATGATACGCCGCGGGTCGGCTCGTAATCTATAAAACTGATACACGCGGCTTTGCATAAGCTTAACGCAATGTTTCCCGTAATTTTCTAAAAGATTAACTTGCTAATTTTTAAAAACTGACACCGTTTTTAGCATCAGCTAAAAAAAAGTGTCCGCATCTATTTTATAAAGGAACATTACCGGATAAAATGTCTTCCAAAATAAACTAATATTTTAAAACTTTGTTTTTAATTTCTTTTAAACATTTGTTGAATTTTTAAAAAAGGGGGTCACTGCGAATTAAAAAAAAAAACAGAAAAAAAATAGAGCGAAAAAATGTTGCTCTAAATTTTAAAGACGCAAGTAAAAATTGATCTCATGAAAAGCATGAGACAGTAGGACGACAATGGCAAATAATCAGGTGGGATAATTCTGAGCTTTCGATAATGTTAGGTAAATCAAGGGGCTAGTTGGGCAACTTTTGTTTCATTAAGGTACCACTACGGACCAGATGGTCACTAGCACAGAGCAAGTAGAGTTCACCTGTTTCTGTAACCACGGCATATGAAAGTACTGTGTGGCCAGTTTTATGCCCAGTCGCCTTCTCTCTCCTAGATGGTTAAGTTGGTTGATTTTGGAGTTGTCTCCCCTAGATGATTGCTGTCCCCAGCTCATCATCTGAGCGGGATCCGAACTCGGGACTTTGGATTAAGTAATCATGCGTGTTCCTACTTGACCACGCCGTCCACATTTTTATATAAGTATCAATTAGATTAGACATTATAGATTAATTTAAAGATTACCATATTAATTTACAAAATGGGAGATAACCATATTACGTATAAGCGATCACTCAATTTGCCAAGTGACGTAATAATGTCATGGATGTTTTCACACACAAGAGACAACCATACATTTTAACCTGGGGCAAATAATTACAGTTTGAAGATCATTTCGAGATAATCTGATCGAATTTTTAAAGCAAATTTTGTGTTACCTTAATTAAAAAAAACATACGAATTAAAAAAAGCTAATCAGTAATAGTTTTTAAAAAACTGTTGCATTTACTATTTACTTGTCAAAACTCCTGATTATTAAAAAATAGAAAATAAAAAATATATAAAATATAACTTCTTGTTTACAAATTCACTAAAAATAAGTAAAGAAACTTTTATGTTTAGTAAATGCATTGGTTGCTCAAATAAAATCAGCACATTTACATGATCGTTGCTTTTTACTAAATAAATATAGTTTATTTTCTTTTCTTATTTTACTGCATTTAAATCTCGCTATTATATAAGTTTCTGTATTTGTTTTCTTTTTAGCTCAAATTATAAAATTCTGTTGAATTATTTTTCATTGTTATATATCATTTTCTATTATAAATAATATTGCATTTCGATTTATAGAATCTGCAAATAATGTTTATTTAAATATATTGTATTGCTAAAAGATAATTAGAAAATCAACACTTTTTAAACCGATTTTCAATTGAGTCGGTGCTAAAACATACAGCTAAAAAAATTTACATGAAAACGTAAAAATGTATTGAAAAATATGATAGAAATCTTTTTGAAGAACTCTCCAGAGCAGGAGTTTAAATGATTACGTAATGGAAAAAATACTTTTTTTAAAGAAAACGTCACTAGATTGGAGAGTATGTTTTGTTGTTTCAATAGTTGGTTATAGATTTTTGTTTCTGCTGTCCTCAAACTGACGGGTCCCAGACATAAAAAGTGTAATTGTTCTGGAAAGTTTTTAAATGCATTTTTTTTTTCGTTAAAATAATTAAAATATGAATTTAGAAAGAACTCATTGAATTATTTGAGAGAGAACAGAAATATGATTAACTAAAAAAAATTTGCATCTGTTGAAAATGTTGAATCTGAAAGTTTTTATTTCGTTATTTAATGAAACAATTTTAGTTCTAATTTTAATTCTAATGTCTGTCCACAAAAGTAGACATTTTGTTAAAACGAGGTAAATGTGGTGAATAAAGAGGTTAAACAAAATTTAAAAGGAGGAAGTGATGACTTTAGGTGGCAGATAGTGTAGATAATGCAGATAGTGTAGATAATGCAGATAGTGTAGATAATGCAGTGTAGTAATGTGTACTGTGTCTCTCTCAGTGGCAAATAGTAAAAATGTATTGTGGCCAGTACAGTGTCCAGTTGTAGCCGATACAATGTCCAGTTGTTGCCAGTATGATGTCCAATTATGGCCAGGAAATGTCCGTTGAAGACACCAAAGATCAGTCTCCCTCTCAACCCCTGACCACGTGACATGGTTGGCTGGTACAGCGCTTGGCCACCCATAGGAGTCTGAGTCTACTCAGTTCTGTAGGATACCTGGCTCAAGTTAGGGATACTAAAGTTTGCTGGTCATAGTGATGACTACACTATCGCTTTATATACCAAGGTCAAGAAACACATAAACTCAACTTCATCTGTCCTTTGGATCATTAAGTCTAAAAAGGTAACGTTACATTACTCTCTACCCAAGAAACTACGAGCATCTATAAAGGACCACTACCCCAAACCCTAAAAACATTCTCACATTTAAATTACGTTTTTCTCCACTGTAAGAACTTTTTTAAACTCTCAACTACATAGTGGTATTATTAAACTCGGCTGTAATTCAGACCTGCGACTTGCAGACGATGGGCTCCTACGTCTGTTTCAAACGAGCAGCAGACGCCTGAAGGTGAGTGAGATGCACACTCTCGCTGGTAGGTGACACCACTCAATGGTGTCTGACACCACTCAATGGTGTCTGAACAGCTTCATTGCCAGGTTTCGCTTCAGGCGTCTTGCAGAAACTTTATTAAAACGTTTCATGACATAAGAAGGGGGGGGGGGCGATACCAAATTTGTTGGCCAAAAGTGAACATGCCTTTATTTGATTTTTATTCAACTTACTCTACGATTAAAACAAAAACAATTTTATTTTCGAAACAAAGTTCGCCTCATTTTGCTAATAAATTTATGCAAAACATACTTTCCCTTTACTTATGTACTACTCTTGTTTATAATAGATGAATTACATTGCATTTGGATGTTTCGAAACTATAAAAATTCTAGCATTGTGCTTAACTTTTGGTACTAGATTTATCCTAAACCAAACTTCACCACACAAAAAAACATATCGAATACTATAGCACCAAGGTTTTGATCCATGTAATTCATACGTTGCTGTAAAAAAAATGCAACTTTCACTTTCATTTTGTCCCACTTTTAATGATACTTATCGCCCTGTCTAGCCAGGGGCGATCACTCTATCCACACATTTTTCACGGATTTAAAATGCATTTGAGCCGATGTCCAAAAATAAATTACTCACCCCAGCTATTTTATGACTCTTCTGGCCTATTAGACTATCCCAGCGGTTCTTAACCTGGGTTCGAACAACCCCCAGGAGTTCGGTGAGTCAGTTTCAGGGGTTCGGCGGAGGTCAATACACACACCCGACTCATAGCATTCAGTATCGGATTGTATCTGTGCGGTCGATGGAACCATTAAGAAGGGTTCGGTGAAAGCGCAATTAAACTGGTGGGGTTTGATATCTCGAAAAAGGTTAAGGACCTCAGGACAAGTAGACAGACCTTGTTTGATTGACGAACATATTATTGAATAGTTTTAAACAATTGAAGTTAAGAAATATTTTACGTGTGGTGGACTACTGTTTCAGAAAGACAAGCTGAGTTTTCTAAAATATTACATTTATTAAAAAAAACCACATCATATTCATCACGTGACCATAATTACAAACAATACAAAACATATATCGCCTTAAATAAAACATTCCTATTTTTTGCTTAAAGATATCTAAAAACTAGGAAAAGTAGCTGATAAAAATAGATTAAACAACTGTTATTTCCCTTTAATAGAATTACGTTCCTTTATATTATACACATGAAGCGTTTTTAAAAGTGGTTTTTTTTTTTATTTCACTTATTCTCAGATGTCTGTAATCCATTGTCGAAATCTCGCGACTGAAAATGTCAGCCATACGTAATGAACTGTATTCTGCTTGAAACTGAAGATATGACTGTTTTCTATTGCCATTATGTTCACTTAAAATATGCGTGCTGTATATAAAGTGCATGGGTCATAAGAAATAGAGCAGAAAAAATGTTTAACAGCGACTACAAAAACATTTGAAAAACTGAAACTTCTTTTAAAATATAGTTGTTGATAAACTCACACGGTTGTGCCCCTTTCTTTGCAGCACGAGTAGTCTAACGTGGAAAACTTAAAATGAGACAGCTCCGTCCAAATAAAAAGTGCATCCAATCCAACCCATGCACTCGAACATTTGACAGCCAGAAGTTGGCTAGTCTGGACCGGAAGTCACGCGCATAGGGGCCCTAAACCAATGTTTGACTTAGTAGCCTTTGAGTTGTTAAAAAAATTTAAAACTGGTTCTCTTTTTGTAAGCAAGCCTAAAGGTACCAATTTAATTTCTGAAAATAAGAGCTCTAACTTTATTAAAATCTAGTTCGAATTACGGAAATTAATTTTTTTTTAAAGTATCAAGATATATAGTTATTTCTATGGGAGGGGTAAAACTACGTAATTTTAAAAATTTCAGGTTTTAGATATAAAATTTTGCAAAAGGGTTTACATAATAGACAAATTCAAACTTTTGGAACTGAAATTTAAATAAAATGTTTTAAGATCTTATTTACATGTTGAAAACAAAGCTAATATATTTCTAACCATTATTTCTCACCCATTGTGTTTTAATGATTTTTAAAATATCAAAGCCTTTTCAAAAACTTTATGCCCAACTTTTTATTTAACGAGAAATTTTTCGATGCATGCATCCTTTATAGATGTTTAAAGATAGAACTGATTATTACAGCAAGGAGGGGGGGGGGGAGATGTATTGATTATTTGGCTTTACGAGAATCAATATTACAGCTGACATATTTTAAGAACAGTTTTGAATTACCTTACATGTTTCACCTTGGTGTTAAATTGGAATTTTTTAAAAATATTTTTTTAAAATATTTTTTAAAATACATTTCACATTTAAAAAATCAACTTTTACAAAGCTAGCCATGCACACATCCTTGTTTCTGACATGTCATTGTTTCATCGATTAATTGCATTGCCTGCTGAAGTTATTCCGTTCTATTGTGACCTACGTGAAGAAGACCGTCTTCGAGTCAGGTAAGACAGTGTCTTTAGGTCATTAGGTCAGGTTTCTGATTTGACTGAGTCATTTCTTTAGAATCTTGAAGTAACAGTCTATAAATTTCTGTAGGATTTGACCTCTGTGTCCAAAGAGCCTCGCCAACATAATCATCCACTCGACCACCTTATTTCAGTTAATCAATACAAATAAAACGCCCGAACGCCATTAATTAACACAACGCATGCCACGCCCCCACCACTGCCCAGGCTTGATTACAATCTATAATTAGCCCAACTCCCCATGCCCGGTGTAACACGAGGACCGCCTCATTATCTTTTTGGTTTGAACTTTGTGTTTTTGCACCCTCGACTCTAATGAGCCCTCGGGCTCCCTACCGAGGGGGAGAAGTGGAGGAATGGACCACGTGGGGTATGTAGATTACAGGTCTATTCGGACGCGTCGTCTGCATGACAAGCATCTGATGCACGTGCTCATTAACTCACCCAGCTGAACAATGACGCAACCACGTGACCTGGGGTGTCGAGAGATGTAGGTCGGAAGGTCTGTAAGATACACAACTGGCCTAATTCTATTAGAAAAATGCAAGTATAGTAACCCCCATGTGTATTCTGATGTCATTAACCGCTTTATTCAAATCAGTGCCAAAATATTCGAATGTCTGTCACCTTTATGCAATAAATACTTTCCTTACACTATTGCCGAGAGTGCTTTCAGTTAGATCAGTGTAGTTAACATCTTTATTTAAATGGCGTTCCATAATACCTTTATTATATAGCCCTCTTGAGTGTCAATGACCTCTTAATTAGTGTCATAACTCCCTTTATTTAGTATCGACACCCTCCAATATTTAGTGCCATATACCCCTTTTATTTGTGTCATAGCCCCTTTTACTTAGTGTTAATGACCCTTTTTATAAGTGTCTTATCCCCTTTATTCAGTGTCTATTACTCTTTATTAAAATTAGAACTAAAGTCTCGAAATTATTTTAAAATTCTTTAAGCTCATAAAATTTTAACAAGTGAATCAAATTTCAATTTTTAAATTCAACTGCCATGACTGATAGTTACTTGGGTCACAATTTAAATTTCCGAATCAAAGAAATATTTTTGCTTGTAAAATTTTGTTTCGTTTCATACTTGACTCCGCATTTTTCAGCAAGAGAATGTCACCGTGACCTCTACCGAATTCAGTGAGTTGCATTTTTTGCTGCAATTAGTTGTTGTGTACAAAATCTTGAGTTGTCTTCAAATCAAGTGAATTATGATGCAGTACAATGCGTGTAGGAAACTCAATCAGCACAACATTACACCCGCTTTTTCTTTCGTTAATAGACAATAGGGCTCGTAAGTCTCCGTTTCTCTCGCTTAAAATTCAAAATCTCGTTAGCCAGGAAGATATCTACATTTCTGAACTAAACTGATTGTTTTGAACAAGATTCCTATTAATAACAAAAACATGGTGGCTAATTGATTTTAAGCCTGGTTTCACGATTTTAAAACACTATGAGCACCCAAAATGCAACAATTATATTTTTTTTTGCTAATAATATAATCAAATTTAGTACCTGTAGGCCTAGGCTATTAATAATATTTTTTGTTAATTCTGTATCTACGTTTGGGACAACTTGTTACTGATTCGAACAAATAATAACAAACTGTACGCATCTTAAAGTAGACTATATTTTTATTTAAACTAGTCTACGTAAATTTTAGATTAGAATACATGTAAGTTTTGTTGCGAGATTAGGATACATGGAGAGTGTGTGGCAAGATTAGGATATAGGACTATGTAGGCTGTCGTGTGGCTAGATTAGGATACATGTAAGCTGTGTGGCTAGATTAGAATACATGTAAGCTGTGTGGCTAGATTAGGATACACGGAGAGTGTGTGGCTAGATTAGGATATATGTAGGCTGTGGTGTGACTAGATTGGGATACATTGAGGGTCGAGTTTGGCAACGACATAATCCCAACATAATCTACAAGTGGTATCCGCCTCTGTAAATAAGGGTAGGATTCCTCCCTCCTACTCTCAAAAATATCCTAGCTGCAGCTAGCTCCCCCCTCTCCTCCACCCCACCCCCACCCCCACCCCCCTAAGAGGCTAAACTTACCACATAAAACCGAAGCTGGTATGACCCACCCAAGTTGAAATTTAAATGACCCGCAACATCCCTCCCCACCTCATCATCATCATCAAGAAAGGACATTGACCCATCAGCCCAGGTTGACTTAACAGAAGCAAATAATCCCCCCCCCACCCCCACCCCCCTACCCTCCAAAAAATATGGTATGATCCGCCTTTGCTGAATACAACAAACAAACTCCAAACCCACCCGCTCACAAAATTGTTCGATCATGAGCCGACCCTTCCCCTCCACCCCCGCCCCACGTAAAACACGATGAGAATAATATCTCAGGATCCTGTCCCCTGCCCTAATCCCTCTCTCTGCCCCCTCCCCTAATCTAAACACGTATCGTGTTTATATCTCAGCTAGCTGAGCCTAATGATAATTGCAATGGGATGACATGTTATAGATATGTAGTAACATATTGAAGATATGAAGGAACATGTTGAACATATGTAGGAACATGTTATAGATATGTAGGAACATGTTTTAGATATGTAGCATCATGTTATAGATATGTAGGAACATGCCGAAGATATATATACATATATATATATATATATATATATATATATATATATATATATATATATATATAACATGTAGATATGTAGGAACATGTCACAGATATGTAGGAACATAAAAAAACTTTTTTCATAAAACTAGAATTATTTTTTTTTAAAACACGTATATATATATATATACGCTTCTTCTTCAATTGAAAAATAGAAGATTAAAAAACGGTATGTGTTAACAGGAAGTCTTTCCTTAAATAAACCAAGTATATATCTATACGTATGTTTATTTAAGGCACCAAGAGATACAGGTGAGCTCTACTTCATCTGCCCTAATGAGCGACATGTTCTAACGAGGGCTTTACCTAGATTTTGGTCAGAAGGACAATGGAATCTTCTATTTACTTAAGACAATGGAATCCACTATTTACTTAAGACAATGGAATCTACTATTTACTTAAGACAATGGAATCTACTATTTACTTAAGACAATGGAATCTACTATTTACTTCAGACAATAGAATCTACTATTTACTTCAGACAATGGAATCTACTATTTACTTAAGACAATTTAATCTACTATTTACTTAGACAATGGAATCTACT